GTGGTTCTCAACCTTCCTAATGCCACGCCCCTTTCATACAGTTCCTCATGTTATGGTGACCGCCCCCAACCATAAAATTATTTTCATTGCTACTTCATAGGTGTAATTTTGCTACTGTTACGAATTGGGTGACCCCTGTGAAAGGGTCATTCGACACCCCCCAAAGGGGTCTCGACCCAGAGGTTGAGAACCGCTGGTCTACACTCACAGTTGTGGTCTGTGGTGAGCTGTGGAGTCCACTCCATGGCAGCAGAGGTCACCCAGCCTTTCCTCTCAGCAGTGAGGGCGGGGATGGTCCCTGCCTCCTCAGGAGCAAGGCTCGAAGGGGCACCTTCTCTCTCCCCTGGGGCTGCCCCTCATGATACGGCTCTGCTGGACACACGAGGTGGGCCTGGAGGCTCCATCACCACAGGGAGTTCCCCTCCTGAGCAGCCACTGACTTGTCAGCAAATACGTAAGAGGAGTCCATGTGGCGTGAAGGCTTGTGCGGCTTGAGAAAGACACGGTGGAAAACGCACTGCCTTTCAGCACGAGTGGATCTGATGCTACCCTGAGCTGCCCCTTGGCGCAGCAACATCGGGTTCCTTAGCAATCTGAAATGCAGAGCCAACAGCTCTTTGATGTTACGGAGCTTCAGCGTTTTTGACAAGAAATCTCGGACAATCAAGGCATGGTGTGGACAGGGGGAACAAGCACACGGCGCTCGGCTTTTCAAGAGCCCCGCCAGTGCATGCGCTTTGATCAAGCAGACTGGCAGGTGGCTGCCAGGATGGTGCCTGGCTCTTAATCTTCAGCAGATGACTGCTCACAAGACGCCTTTAAGTCTTCACTATTGAGGCAGAAACCCAGAAGGGCACAGAGTAAGGTGATTAACCAAAAACTTCAAAAGGGGCCCTTGAAAGACTTGAAGATAGGGTCCATGCCGATACCTTAGGGAGAAGAAAGCAAAGTGGAAGGGGGGTGGGGGGCAATCTATGACAAGGAGGGGGTGGCAGGTTTCTCTTCTTGACATTAACACCTGCCATGCGGATGAGGGTCATTACAGTGCATGGGGGCAGGTTTGTTTCTGCATGAATGCTGATAAAGACTGGTCTAATTTGCTGGGGTCAACAATTCAAGGGAAAGAACGGCTGGGAGGGTCCCCACAGGATAATTAGGAGCCTAGGTAGCTCAGTGGTTAGGTGCTCAGCTAGCAAGATCAGCAGTTCAAACATGATAGCCACTCCACAGAGAAGGATGGCATGGTCTGATCCTGTCAGGATTCGAGTTGTGGAAACCCTGGGGAAGTCCTGCTCTGGCCTTTCGGGTAATAGGAGCTGGACTGAACTTGATGCAGTGGGTACTTACAGGAAGATGAAGACCAGGGGCTGTCTGGTCGCCCCTGACTCCTGGACGCCAGGGTTGAACTGGGCTCCACAGGGTTTTCAAAGGCTGATCCTTTAGGACTAGACTGCTAGGCTTCTTTTTTGAGGCATCTTTGGGTGGACTCAGATGTTCAACCTTTCACTTAGCAGCTGAGCACATTAAACCTGTCTCACCCCGGGACCTGGTGGCCAGGGGTATAATTCTTGTCTTTCGTGTGGGAGAGCTGGGTTCTATTCCCAGCCAAAGCCAAGTACACCTCCTGCATAACCCCCCTGCCATCTGCTCCTACAGGGTTGTGTGTTGCTCTGATAATGAAAAGGTTTTATGAGGCTTCTGTATTACAATGGATTAGGAAGCAAGACCATGTGATCCACTTCTACAAGTTAGCCAGTGAAAACCATACAGACCACCACTGTCTGCTGTACAAGTGATCCTGGGGATGGTGCTGCCCGGGCAGCAGCAGCAGCTTGTTCCACCATGCATGGGAATATGTTCAGTCAGGGGAGAACTGGAAGGCAGCTACCAGCAAGGGACAGTAATGGCTTCTCTGCTGCTCCACGTAAAGCGCTGCACACTAGGAACCTAGCCTGGGGAGATTCTGCACTAGGTGCCCTGCTGGCGACTGTCGGCATGCCCGGGCTCCTGGAGAACAGGACTCACGCCCACTCTGCCCCACACCACCAGCACCCTCCTGATGCTGTGGTTAAGCAGCGTGGTGGCTCCAAAGTGGGCATGAGTCCTGCCTTGTGTTCTTAGGAGCTGCTACCCTGTTTCCCCAAAAGTAAGACAACCCCTGAAAATAAGACCTACTTACAGTTTTGTCTCTCACTGAAATATAAGGCATTCCCCCGAAAGTAAGACCTCTCCCAAAATAAGCCCCCCCGAAGCTACTCAGCGCAGACGGAGCAGACAGGAAGTGCGAGGTCTCTTTTAATAAAACAATAAACAATAAATGTGCACCTTATTCTTCTTCATGGAAAAATAAGACATCTCCTGAAAATATGACCTAGCGCATCTTTGGGAGCAAAAATTAATATAAGGCACTCTTATTTTTGGGGAAACAGGGTACTAAGCAAGTTACTTAAAAACAAGCCTGGCTTTTACCTGTGAAAGAGTATACATGATCATCTTTCTAGAACTTCAGCTTCCAAGGCCAGGTTAATGTCCCCCTTCCCTTCTGCTAGTCTATGAAAAGTCATCTCTGCTGTTAATTCTCATCCATTTATCTCCCCCTACACACACACACACACACACACACACA